TTGATAAAGTTGCGTGGATATCCATTTTGTTGGAAGATGTATAGGTGTATGTTGTATATCTATAGTCCAGAGGGCTTCCTTAGCACTCTTGCTGAAAGCTTGGGAACCAAGTACACTCTGTACGCTAGAGTTTGTGACATTCATCTGCTAGAACCAGAGTTTAGCAATCTTTTTTTTTTTTTTTGGACAATGGCGATGGGGAACACACTCCACTGGACATCTGGGGAGGGACAAAGATCACATAAGGCAGCACAATAGGGGAAGAGCTGTATCTGAGATGTTGGTTGGACCAGATTTTTTCCCCTTATGTTTTTCGAAAGGAATTTTTTGAGTCTTAACATACATTTATGTTATGCTATCTAGGGCTTACATTTCACTTTCCATGCATTACATCCTCACATTAGTGAAAAACTCTCCTCTTGATTTTCAGAAATTATAGACAGAGTCTTGAGGAGTGCAGGAAAAAAAGAGCACAGGTTGGAGACCTCAGGTGACTCAGGGTTTCAAGTTGTCCATCCTTGTGCTAGAGCAGTGTTTTTCAAACTTGGTAAAGTTGCCAAGTTTGAAAAACACTGTGCTAGAGCTTCTGTGAGGACTCTCTACAAATCCTGTACAGTGAATTAGTGTGCTGCAAGTTAAGCAAACCTATAATCCCCAGACAGGCAGGTGGTCTGAGATAAAGGAAGAGGAATAACAGAGGTCACTGCAGCCACACTTGAAAAATACTTTTTCCCAAGTCAGCAACTTTTGCTCTTTCTGTAGTTGGAGTGGAGGGGAGAAAGTTGGGCAGAAGGAGTTGTGTGTTTTCTGTAGGGTCTTTCTGTTCCTCCTTTCCTTGATGTGGTCAGTTTCCATTCCTCCTTCCCCCAAAGGGGAGGGGGAAGAATGGGAGTACATCTTTTTCCCTTTCTCAAGCCCCACATGTTCTCACAGTTCAGCAATAAGATCTTCCCCAGAGGATGAGGGAAAGTCATGGATTGTATTTTCCTCTTTGACCCAGATGTGAATCTAGCAGATAAAGTGCCAGGGAATGAGAAGCTAAACAGAAAAATAAGAATTCTAAGAAAAGAAAAACTCATTTCATTATACTTGTTATTCTTTGCAATTATCATCAAATATACAAGCAGTCAGTCAAAATCAGGCAAAAATACATATATTCTATATTTCTTGTGTATACTCAGCCATATGCTGTACTTAGTATCTGATATACCAAGATAAGCATTGAAAATTAGAGAACTACAGTCATTTATCTAACTCACATATGCACAGAAATCATTTAATTTAATCATGTTCTCTCAGACAAAGTGGGTAGATTGGCCTGTCTAGGATGAAATGGTAATTCCACAAATAAAAAGAAAGAAGGCTGACAGGAAAACCTCCCCTTAATATTGAGTGCATAGACATTGTAGAATCTCAGGTTGGTTCATTATCTTCAAATGAAAAGTACCATATATTGAAGAAGTCTAAAGCAACCATCTATTCAGCATCCATGTTAGATATTTTATTTGCAAATGAGGGCTTCAATTTCTTGCCAAAAGATCTATAAAAATGAATGAGGAAGGGTGCAAGGTGGGTTACAGCTTTGCATTTACTACATTAGGGCTTGCTCTGGAATTCCCTAAATGTGTTGCATAACATTGGATTGTGCAATGGGGGACAGGTGGGCCACACCATGTCCATGTATAGTTCTTTATACATTTGTGATTTGTCTTATTTTTAGTCTGGATTTTATCAAGAAATAAAGATGATGAAAGCTCAAACCAGTAAAAAGGGGGATGATTATAGAGCAACTATGGGAGATCTGCAGGTGACCATGACATCAATTTTATGGTGCTGTAACCTGTTTTCAACACTCCACATGCTCTCACATTCTGTTTGTATATGCTTGTTCAGCTGCAAACTTCAGCTCTTTTCCTTAAGTGCCATACTGAAACTTTGTAGGGCATCTTGGAATGACTTCAACAAAGAAATTCCCAGTTCATTTCCTGTTTCCTGAATAGCAGCATCATACGCTCCAAAGAGGGGAGTAGAAGCCTTGATGTCTTCCCGCTTTGCTTCCAATAAAATCATGTTGAGTTCTTCGGCTATTGTCTCATATTTCTGGTGATCAAATTTTGAAAGATCACTTTCACCAATTGGGTAACTGATGTTATTTGCATAACAATCTCTTGGAACTGGAAATTCAATATATTTCAGCCTTGGAAAATCAATGAAAATATGAAAAAGGCATTTCAAGGCTCGAGAAGATAGAGGATTTCCAAGGAACTTCAGCTCCTGTAATTTCCGACAGGGAACCAACCCTAAAATCAGCATGTTGATATGAATGTCCTGAATGTTGCATTCCTCAAGGGTGAGACTTTTCAGTGTATGAGATGAATGGTTCAGAAGCTTGAAGAAGGTTGATGGGTATAAATCAGCCACATCGTGTCCACTGATATCAAGAGCTTCAAGGCTCTCAGAGTGCAGGCTGTTGGCTAAATAAGCCATGTCAAGATGGTTCAGTGAACAGTTAGAAACGTCCAGCATTTTCAGTGGGGACTTCAAAGGACTGGAAAGTTCAATAAAACCACCAGTTCAATAATTGCACAAAAACAGTTCCATTATACAGCTTTTAAAAACAATAGATTCATAAATATGCATAGGCTACCCTCTGTAACACAGGACTGGAAAATGGCTCTAATGTCAATTTTTAAAAAGGGATCCAGGAAAGTATAGGCCACTTAGCTAGGTAAATTGGTGGAAAAATGGTAATAAAAAATAGAATAGTCACATGGGCATTTGGGCCTATGGATAAATCTTGCTGAAGAACTAGTATGGTTTCTGCAAAGGTAATTCCTGCCTCACTAACTTTTTAGAGTCATTTGAAAGGATCAGCAAATAAATGGATAGGAGTCATTTGCCAGACATTGTTTATCTGGAATTTCAAAAGGCTTTCAACAAAGTCCCTCATCAAAGACTCTGAGCAAATTTAGCAGCCATGGGATAAGAGGAGAAGTCCTCATACAGATCGGTGGCTGATTAAAGTACAGGAAGAAGAAAGTAGAAATAAATTAGTTTCCATTTGCACATAGTAGGGATGTAAACAATAGTGTCCCCAGAACATTTGTATTGGGACTGAGACACTTTATTTTCAAATATTCCAGAATAAGTAGGGGTGAACAGTGGGGAGGTCAAACCAGGGCATGATACCAAATTATTTAGGATGATTAAAATAAAAAAGTGCCCACAAAATTGATGAACATATTGACTCAGAGCTTTTCTTTGTGGCCAAATTAAGTGTTGTCTATCAGTCAATGAGCTGACACAAAACTCTACTAACATAAAATTTGCTGCATGCACACACACACACACACACACACACACATGCAGCAATCCCTATTCTGCCACAGGCATGAGGCTGCCAGATAGTGATGTCCTTCTTTACGGAGTACAGAGCATATGAAGGAGAGGAGGTGGTGGATTCCCAAATCTTTGTTTCCTTCCCCTCTCACCAAATATCACCAGCCATCCAAAGTCACTGTCCTTAACGTGGGATGGGGTTAGAGAGGAGGCAAATTTTGACCAATGGCTAGATCAGCAGATTTAGCTCTCAGTCAAAACTTAATATGGTTTTGCATGGCTTTAAAAATAGAGAATATTTGCAGCTCAGAGTTGAACTGTGGAGTCCTTGGGGTTCTCTGAGCTTGGTTGCTCTCTTGCAGACGTTTTGTTACCCAACAAGGTAACATCTTCAGTGCTAGAAGGGAGTGGGGTTTGCTCTCTGTTTATACAGTGCAAGGCTTTCTCTTTCCCCCTTCTTTGTGCAGCACCCCTACTGCCAATGTTGGTCAGTTGCTGTCCAGACTAACCTAGATCTCTGAGCCACGGGTCAAGAATGGTCCTGGAAGAGAGGGGGTCTATCTGCATCAGCCTAAAGTGTCCAATAAATCTCTGCCTGATCTCAAACTGCTAGGGGGCCACGTGAGTGCCCCGCCAGTAGAATAGTTGGCGAAATGCATCAGATTGTATGCACAGCAAAACCTGTGTTAAGGGGAAAAACACTTCTTTCCAGTACAATGACTTAAAGCTGTCTCAATGATGGCCTGGGGATCCAATGGAAAAAAAGAACATAAGAACACGGTAGGAAAAAAAGAGATTTCTGGGGTGTATTTGTGCTGCAATTAAATGTTAGGGAGGAAAGGCTTTCAATATTCCATTTCCATCTTTGCAATTCTTAAGAAACACATTTAAAACAACCCTATAAGTATCGTAATACCTTTGTGCAAATCTGCAGTGTGAGAACTACAGCGCAAACCTTTTGCATGGGCTTGGCAACGGTTTGTGCAACATTCCCATATTGTGGGCTTTGTTGTTATGCTTTTCTTGCCCCAAACTTGCCCCCCCCCAAATATGGCAAGGGAAGAATGAGGATGGGGATGGGAATACCATTGGGGGCGGGTGCTCCTCCTTGGCCAATTAGAGGGGGTGCTGGTGGGATCAAGGGCAGTCTGAGAACTGCTGAAGCTTTAGAAGGATAAAGGCATTGCCTTAAGAAGGGGCTTCCTTATGTGCACCTAAATCTATGAATTCAAGCTCCAGTCCGCTTTTAATGTCACATCCCTCCTCAGAAGAAAAGACCTTTCTTAACTTTTGATGATCAAGCTTAGGATTTGTTGACCCCCTATTATTTTAGATTTCTATCGAAAGACACATATTCCATGCCAGGATGGTGGCTTAAATAATGAATTCAATAGCTGCCAATCATTTCTTTTCTGCCTCTGACTTGGCAAGAATAATGATCGTATCACTGATACTGTATACAGTAGCTTTGATAATTGGCACTCAGGAAGTGCCAGCAAAATAGTTTTGGGGTAAAAAATTAGATCTTCTACAGAATTGCTTTTGATAGCAAGTTACAACTGAGGTATTGTTTTCATATGTGAATACAAATACTTGGTTTAGAAAGAGACTTTCCTTTGGTTCTATCATTTAGGACTTTATCAAACCCCAAACAGAAAAATTTCCAAAATTGCTGTATTTTTAAAGTCATGATTAGCAAGCTACATATCAATCTTCTACCCAAGGAATAAGTCCCACTGAAAAGGGGCTTCCTTTTCAGTAGAGATATATAGATATGCTCCCTAAGCTGAAGGAAATGGTAAGGAAATTAAAGAACTGAAAAAAGACACTGTTGCACACAGTAGTGTAACGTGTGCCCACCGGATGTCCCTGCTCAGAACTATTAATTTCAGGCATAAAAATGTCTCCTATATTGCAGTTTGAAAATCGTTCAGCAGAATATTCTATCTGGAAATCCCCATAGGAGCATTTCGTTGGTCTCTCATTAAACATTGGCCTGCGCCACTGAAAATCTGAGCTCACTTCTCTTAGCTAGAACTTCTGCGAGGCAATTTGAGCCAGTTGATTTCTGTCAGATTGAATTTCTTTTCAACTAAGATTGGAATAATATGGAATCATCCTGGTGAGTGAGTGACTTGTTATCAATTACACAGCAACACGCAACTGCTGTTTCTCCTACAGCACCATGGTTTCTTCCCAACAGCAGTAACAGCTGCTTTATGGCTATACCTCATCCTTTCTTCATGCATTTCCAACTGCACGGCACTGACTCCCCAGCAAAAGCAATCTGGAATGCATTACCTGAGTAGTTTACGGATCCGTCCTGTGAGGGTGGAAAATGCCAGGCTCACTTCTGTCAGCTGACTCATCTGGCTGAGCTTTTCCCCAATTCTTGAAAGAATGGCTTCATCCTCTGGTGTGAACTTTCTCACATCAAAGGTCCCAGCTGGCAGTGTGAGTGATGTTAGTTTAGGAAAGTGGACATTATTAAAAAGCACTTGCAAATGTTCCATTTGGAGCCTAACATTGTGGACCACTTCAAATTTGCCCAGCGAAGAGGGTTCTGTGAGCTTTATGATGTAGAAGAGCTTCCTTAGAGCCAGATTGTCCACCCGGAAGGCTTTGCAATGGATTTTGAGTGGGCAGTGGCACCTCATTAGCAGAGCCTGGACAACCACCTCATAGCTTCGTTCAGTAACAAAGATGTCGGCCAAGACATCAATAGAGATCTCAAACACATCCGGACGGAAGGGCAACTCTTGCATGTCAACCAGCAGATCATAGCAGGTCCTTGAGAGCAGCTCTGTCCGGGCCCAGCGTCCCATTGTTTTTCTACAGGGGCAGAGCTGAACTTCAACATCCTTTATGCCTGTTAAATCCACAGTTTTGAGTCGTTTTGCATAGGGCGATGAGCAATTCAGGACATAGTCTTTCAAACCAGCTAGGCAGCTGGCCAGACACAAAGAACAGGCTCGGTTACTGATGTCTTCAGGGTGATCAGCTGTCTTCCCCAGCAGCTTCCCAACATTGAATTCTGGCAGTGGCCAGTTCTCTACCAGGTCATGAATCACCTCCACCTGCTCCTGTAAGTAGCTTGCCTTAAAAAGAAGAGGAAAAAGGTTGTGCGCAAGATGGCTTAAGTTCTGTCTTACCAACTGCGCCTTGGATACCAGAACTTCAGCACTTAGGAACCGTAGCGAGTGCATTGCTGCTGTGTGATTCTGTCAGTTACTCAGGATCTGTTTTTCTGACCGAGAAACCCTCTCTCTTATCATCTTCTATTTTTAGCTGCAGCTGCTGTGGTGGAGATTGGGAGTATGTGGATCTGGGAAGGCAACAGTCACATCACATGCTAAGTTTAAGCTACTATTTTGGTATCAGACATAAATCTGGCATCTTTAATGTCCTGAATTAGGTTCACAGGGGGTCATTTGCATAATCTTTTGTGAACAAGAGCTTTTAACTTGCAAAGTCAAACTTACACTAGGTATTTCCTTAAAAGTGTTTGCAGTCACCTTGTTAAAGATAATTCTCTTCTACTTCCCAAAGGCAGCTTCCAAAATAAATGTTTGCAACATGTAAATCAACAATACATTTTTAAACCATTAAATCACCTAGCCATAAAATTAATCACTAGCAAAGGTTAGCAGTGTCTCAGGGAAACATGTTTTTACTGAGGTGTTTTACCTGATTTTTTTTTAAAAAAAAATTTAATGATTTTTATCTCAGGACTTAAAATTCATCATGTCATGTGGCAAAGAACGCAAGATTTGCTGGAGCAAATCAATGTCCATCTAGTCTAGTGGTTCATTTCCAGCAAATGATTCTGCTATGAAACTCCCCAGTTGCTGATAGTCTTGATGATCAGAGATACCCTGCCTCTAAGTTGAGCCATCAGAGTCATGTCACAGTGCCAATTTTTAAAAAACACTCATAAATTTCAGGAATTAATGGCTGGAAAGGCTCAGTATAAAAATGAAGGAAAAAATGTATTACTCCAATAAAGACTTGGATGGTACAAATCTCTCCATTATCTTTCCACTGTAAAAAGATACCATACAGTGTTTAGTCAACCCACAAATCAGCTCCAGCTACATACAGTAGTCATGCAATTCAGCTTACGTACTGTTAGAGCTCTACTACCAAATTAGATGTGTTCAGAGTGCAACTTCCAGAACTGCCATCCAGCGCAGCCAATACATCTGGAGGACTTCCAGGGGTAAACACTGCCCTGTCAAAATGGCAACATGCAGAAGAACTTCTGGACTTCTGTAAAAGAGATCAAGGGTGACAACATCATGCCACAGAACAGGTCCAACTGTCCCGCCTACTGCAGCCTTATTTCCCCCAGATAACAGTAAGCTCCTACATAGGGTTGCGGCCAGCGTTTTCTCCTTTTTCTCTCTCCATTTTCTCATGTTTTCATTTTTGGGAGAGCTGGGTTAAACTCTGTTAAACCAATGTTAGAAGTTAAACTTAAATTCTTTCATGTGTTTCCCACTGCAAAATAGGAAGAAATGATGGCATCAGTTCTTAGCAGTTATGGGCAGAGGCAGCTGTAGGTTTACAAAAAAGGGGGCTTGGGGTTTTATGTGCCCCAGGAATGCTGGTTGCTCACCCTTCCAATAGAGTAACCTATGGCAGTAATTCAGTGTTTGTTTGTCTGCTTTTAATTCCACTTATTAGCATGTTATTTACCAGATGGCTATTTCACAGGAGGCAAATTCTAAAATCCAAATGTTGTTGTTGTTTAGTCGCTAAGTCGTGTCCGACTCTTCGTGACCCCATGAACCATATTGCGCCAGGCCTTCCTGTCCTAAAAGAAAGGTCCGAAAAGAAGGTCCGATGCTGTAAAGAACAAAATCCAAATGCTGTAGACATTTGGATGGTTTCACAGCCAACTTGTGGGTTTCTTTGACATAGCTGGCAAGTCAATGTTGGGTAGAGAAGGCAGGGGTAGACCCATTAACAGAGCAAGTTGATCCCCCCTCTCCCCGTGACTTCCTACTGTGCTGTCACCTGATCAGTTGTGTCAGGTCCCAGCTTCTTCCTGCTTCAGTCATGCGGTGTTTGTTTGTTTGTATCACTGCACATGCCTGGTGGTGGTGGTGTGAGAATGCAGAGCACTAATCATCTCACTCCATTGATCATTCTACATCCCTCTTTGGAAGAGCCTTAAATGCATCCCCATCTAATTGTTTTTAGGAGATGGTTTTCTCATGCCTCAGTTAAACTATAGATATGAAGGGTAAATTCCAAGGTTGACACTTGATATTCCTCTATTTTATTGTTTATGATGGCCATTTGTTTCCATTCAGTTCCTGTATGACCATTATTTCCACACTATTTCACCTTCTGAGAGGACTCTTTTGCCACCTTTAGATCCCTTAAACTTAGAGGCTTATCCCTTAAAGGCTAATTCAAAATTGAATGTACAAAGTGTCCTTTAAAGGATAGTTTCCTCCTTCTTCACCCCTCCTTCCTGCGTGTTGGGCACAAATTGCGCAGGTTGACGGTAGTCAGCCTTAAGCATTCAAAAATTGTTTGGCAAGAAGATAACCCAGTCCAGGAAGATTAACAGGAACAGGAATTATTTGTAACAATTCAGTAAGAGGGAATGTAGTATTGTATATGATTCCTGAGTAAAGTATGAGGGTGCAGCAAAATGTGGGCATAGTTTTGGTGTTAGCCTGGAGAACTTCCATGCCTCTGGGTACATGATTCAACAATTGCTCATCGGTAGATCCATCTGCAGACCAAAACCATGATTGGCAGCGATCAATGCTAGCAATCACAGGAAATTGTAGTTAGTAAAAAGGCGTCATAAGAAATGAGGAGGTAAAGGTGTCAGAGGTTATGAAGCAAATATTTGCAACCTGCAGGATCTTAACTCTTCTATATTTTCATTTTATAAAAGGAACAACTCCCTGAAGTTGTGCTTAACACTGATGGGTACATGGGCATGTCCATGGAGTTTTCTAACTGGCCCTAAAGTGATAAGAATATGTAAAACCTTTTCTCATTGTGTCTTCCATCTCATATTCAGTGTCAATCTTCTCTAACCTGGCCTTTAGATGTGTTGAATTGCAAGTCCTATGATCCCAAACCAGCATCATCAGTGGTCCTGTAAATAAGGATGATGTCCATTGTAGTCTTGTCATATATTGGGAAAACAGCCCAATATAATCTCCCTACTATTTGGGGAGTCACTGGTTTAGCAGCAGGGGACAACAGTCTTTCAGAGGAGCCAGCAGTCTTTTCCAAAAAAGAAATCTTACAAGTTTGTCTGTTGTCACTGCCAAGCATGTTGTTGCTTGAATCTCATGAGATGTGATAATTTCACACCAATGTTTAATTCTAAGAAAAATGTTTTTTATTTCATTTAGAATTCTGTGGATGGTGTCTAAGAGTGTCACAAGATCTGTCAAGATCATAAGCCTGTCAATCCCAATCAACTTAGTTGTGTTGGACTTGATAAAAATGGAATAAGACTTCCAAGGCTGATTAGTGACGTTCAGGAAACAGTAACATTAAAGTAAATCTCCAGATACAGGTAGTCCTTAGTTTAAGAACGAGTTCCGTTCCCAAGGTCTGTCCTTATGTCGAATTTGTATATAAGCCGGAACAGTATTATTGTATAATACTGTATCAGTAGTATTGTGTAATTAACTCAAACCATTGTGTATTTAACTTGAATTTTGCTACAGTAGATTCTGTTCTTAACTATGGGTCATCTGTAATCCAGGGACTACCTGTATTTAATGAGGATGAACAATGTTTGCTCCCAGCCTTTTGACTCAGCATAATTAGGGCTAAGAAATCGTCATTGTCATGCGTGTCAACATACCATTGCAACATTTACTTTTTCTGATGGTGGTAAAATTCCTTTAAAAAAAAAAAAAAAAAAGTTAAAACCATAACTAGACTTTGCTATGCTTTTGCAATAGCTGGAATGGTTTGTTTTGTTTTTTGCAAACAACATTCATCTGTAGCGTAACTGCTACCTACGCGCAATATTGAAAAACACCATTGAAAAATATTGATAGATAAATCAAGAAAGTCAAGGGCATTTGATTATTTAATCAAGTGTTCTCCAACACAATGCTTAGATGTCTCGAACCAGCTCCCATGATCTTCAGCCAGCATGATGTACAGGAATGCTAGCTGGTGAATACTGGATGTGCCGCACATATGGAAAGCACCAGGTTGAACAGCCCACATTTTCTAAATACAAAAAGAAGAATGTTTAGTTTGTGTTTTTTAATGCTTAGATGAGGTTACTGTATATCTTAGCATTTGAAAATTAGGACCTTCTGGAAAGAGAGAACCACGAAAAATTGACTTGACTGCATACAGTACATTCATTCATTCTCTTTTAGCGCAGGGAATGCGAATGCCCGATTAAATCAGCTGAGGATCCTTGGTTGCTCCCAAGTGGGACTAAGGCAGGACTTCTCAATATAAAATCTCTACCAGCGTTTATTGCATGAAATCACAAGTTTCTACAACCTGAACCAGGGTTTGCAGTCTGAGATCAGAAGTCTGTGCCATTAGAATAAATGTTTGTGATGTGAAATCGCGTCTCAGAAACATAAACCAGTGTTTGAATAAGCTTTCTCTTGTTCATTCTCTTAACCAGGTCTAGTACACACACACAAATAAACAAACAACAAAAAGCAGCCTTAAACCACCCAAAACCCTGAACTGCATCTTCTAACAGCCCAAGGGCAGCACCACTCCTCTCTTTTTCCTTGCTGGTTGATTTCCCTCTCTTTCGTGCACCAATCAGGAGGCAGCAAGAATGATGTTCTTTCCCAGAGACTACTGCTCGGGAAACAGAGTGTCTATCTCTTCCCTAAAGGTTATACATCACTGCCACCAATCACTGCACACCACTGCCACCTCGGCTGCCCCATTCCAGAACATCTGGGATTAGAGTTCAATCATTAACATTTGGGATACTTCTTCCTGCAAGAGATGTGTCTGGGAAAATTTGTATTATGGTAATCCTAGTTTTGATCACTTTGTATATACAGGTAGTCCTTGACTTATGACCACAATTTACATCACTAAGCGATGTGGTCATAAAGTGAGACATCACATGACCGCATCGCTTAGTGGTGGCAATCCCAGCAATCCCCCTTACTGTTCTTAAGCAAATTTCACTGGTCATTAGCCAAGGACCTACCCCAATCCAAGCCATTCTGGATTTGGTCCC